GTGCTTTTTTAGATCAATTTAATTTAATTTTTTATCATATACAGTATTTATTTATTTATTTAATATATATTTCATGTTTCATTGTTTTAATGTATTTCTTCAATAAATTATTATCTAGTTTTTTTTTTTTTTAAACTGCTTCACTTCCATATGGTTACGCCTCCAACCAGCAGTACTTTTACAGTTATGTTTAATGAAGCAGACGCCGGAGAAATTTAATGAATTTTTTAAAATCACAAATGTGTTGTCCGAGTACGTGACGTGTAAAACATCACATCCCTGAAAAACACTGAGAACCAATGGTGGTGGAGCCGACGCTCAGACCCCCGGGTTTGCATCTGCACAAACACGGGATTCTGAACAGCCACTAAATAATCCAATCATATGTTAATTATTTACATTTGCAGGAGCGCTGTCCTTACTTTTACGCATGAATTATGGATTCTCCTCGCATGGCTCTACTGATACGTTTCATCGTTATTATTCATTCTGGCATGAATTCTGTCGTGTGTGTGTGTATCCATGTCTCGTATGACTCAGACGTGCTCCGGAGGTTGACACTGTCTACCTGAAGACGAAGACACTTCTATAAATAATCCTATTTATGTATGCGCTGGAGGGTTGTTGTTGTTTTTTTTTTAAATGTATCAAAACTTAATCAACTCTTACGCCTATTATTCCACTCACATATTTTGGTTGACAGATATAATGATCTGTATCTTTAAATTCCAGCACCGTAACCCTGGGAGTGTCTGATTAATCTGTAAAAAAAAAAAAAAAAAAAAAAAATACTGCATCTGGGGCTGTGTGCTAAAATAGAATTAAATAAAATTCACACAAATTAATTCACACAGGTGCTGTGACACATTAAGAACTTTCATGCTGAATTCACAGGAACCTGTAAAGTTCCTGTTCCTGGACAACGGTTTTTGCAACTTTCTATGAGACTGGATTGTTGTTTTTTTTTTTTTTTTTTTTTTTTTTTTTTATTGTTGCCAAATTGGGTCGTTTATTTCTTCCTCCAAATCTGTCTTTCCTGTGATATGTTTTTTTTTTTTTTACCAAATTGGGTCGTTTATTTCTTTCCTCTGATACATGGCGATTATCACGTGTTACCTGCAGGGGGCGCTCTCGTCACCCTGACTCACATTCAGCAGCAGAGGGCCACTGTCAGGGTAATAAAGGTGTGGAGTGCCCCCTCCGTGTCTTCACTGGGAGGACGCCCGAGGCTACGTGTTCCTGGACTGCAGTTGTACGATACGATACACGTCCAATTAGCTGAAGACTTCAGGGCTAGCACGGAGTAACGAGACCGGCGTGACCCCCAGCGAGCACAACACAAACTCGTACTAAGGTCAAGAAGGGTTTGTTTGGCGCACAATTACGCACACAAACACACACAAATACACACACAAACGCTGCTGCGTGTTTGTTGGCGAGGTTCATTACTGACTCGCTGCCATCGACAAATACAGTAAAAAATGTTCACAGCTACGTCTCATAAATATTCCTGCAGCGAGTAGAAACGCTCTAAAACGTCCAGATGGCATCACAGCCTCCTCACTGGAGGAGACGAGCGCCGCTTGTCAAACGTTCTCGACGCCGTATGATGCCATGTGACTAACTGCGTCTCCGCTCCGTGTCCATACAGTCGTGTCTGCCTGTCACTGTTTCTGTGTGTGTGTGTGTGTGTGTGAAACATGATCCCTCATCTGATCCATGTTCATCTCATGTGTGTGTGTGTGTGTTTTTACACACCTCTGCCAAACCACCAGGCTGCGCGGCTGCAACCGCAGATGGGGGAAAAACAAGGCCTAGCTTGTGCGAGCGTCATCACAAAAACGTCGCCTCCGCACTCGCCTCAGTCTGTGCCCGTGGAAATGCCAGCCCGTCTGGGCCGGCGGCCAGAGCCGCCCCCGTATCTGTGATTGTCACCGCAACTTCAGTGGCGCCGCAACGAGTTGTGTCTTCGTGTCTTCGGCGTGGCAGATTTAAACCGCGCTCGGCGTTCTCACCACCTGTCAGTTAGCTACGTGGCACCACGTCTCCATGGCAACGAGGGCTCTTTAAACTAATAGAGTCAGTTGTCCTGCATGTGTCATGCCTTTGGGCTGAAATACACACATCTGACCTAAGTGTCGGCCCTTCACACGTTCAGGCTGGTTCAGGGAAAGGTCAAGTTGGCTATAGATTACGTGCTAACCGGCTACAGAGTACAAAAAAAAAAAACACGATCTGGAGGCAAAGGTCTGCGTACTTCCATTTCTTATTTGAACACACATCACTAACTGAGATCCAAGGAATTCTAGAGAAAAAAAAAATCCTAAGAGTAACATTAGCCATTTAGCCAGAGAATCTAACAGAATCAGCAAGTCTGTGACATGTTAGCTATAGCACAAATGTTGACGTTGTTTTCACATGACAGAACATCTGGGAAACTCTGAGTAATTACAGTCACGTACAAAACAATCATTATTTTTTAAACTAACTTAGCTACATAGCATGTTATAGCATTAGCTTTTGTATTAGCTATAAGCAAATGCTACTTTTCATGACCTTTTTTCAATACTCCATGCTATATAGCATTAGCTGTTGAAACACTATTGAAATCATTATATCATGGTCCTATATTTTTATATATATTATATATTTATATATATATTTTTCAGTGTTTTCAATGACGACTCTCCACTGCAGGGGGATGCGTACATCTGAATAGCTTTTTTCTACATTAAAAATAGTGAGATATGCTAACACATGCTACTAGGCTAAAATGAGAGAATTACAATTTACTAAATGTTTTGTGCATAACTCAAATATAAATTAAATGATCACAGAAACACTACTGTAAATGTACACTGAAATATTTGACAGCATGCTAGCAATAGCATGATTCAGATAGCTAGCCCAGGAGATTGAGTTCCTCTGTAAATACAGAGAAATGTTGGTGTTTCCTTCGTTCACTGCCTTAGGGGTAAAATCATCGCCCTTAAATGTTACAGCTCTGAGAAGACTTATATTTTAAATGCTGCAAATATATTTATGTTTCCTAAAGTACGTCTTCCATTTTTACGTCGAGGAAAAATAAAATAAATCGAAAAAAGCTTAGAGAGAACACCTAAAGAGACTACTGTGTGTCATTTGCTGCTAAAAAAAAAAAAAAAAAAATCATTTATTTATTTTTATGGGTGAGAAAGAATTGTGTGTCCTGTGGTGCACGTTCACTGTGGAAGAAGATTCAGTGAGAAGCTAGGGCAGACCTCAGACCTCAGGCTCATAATAGTACGATCATAAATTACCGCAAGACAAGGGCGCTCCCCAAGGAGCTCCAAATGCCAGGGTTCCACTAAAATTACAGCTCGTTTATCAAATGCTTTATTTTCAAACCGTCCTTTTCTACAGGAATCCCTTTTTTTAGTTGCTAGCGTCGTCTTCATACGTCAACTCCCAGGGTTGCTAACGTGCTGTAATGTATTGCTGTGCTGTGCTGTGCTGCATGTTGGCCTACAGTGGTGTGAACAGAGATGTTGGCAGAGTTCCACAGCACAGTTCAGGGAGTGTGACGCCCTCAGAGGTGTTTATATTATGAAGGTAAAACCCAACGTTCACCTCTGACTTAACAAAACATTAAAAAAAAAATAACATAAAACAAAGGAGTGGTGGTTTCCTGGACTGGGAAACAGGAGGAAGTTTCATAAATAATAATATAGTTGCTTTACATGGTTAAAAAAAAATTCTAGGAAAATGATAGAATTATTATTATCAGCAGTTTAAAAAAAAATCAGCTGGACTAAGTCGGGCTTTTGTCCGATTAAATCTGAGCTTCAACAGGGTTTAATACGCTCTTCTGTTGAAGGGTCTGTATCCAAATAAATCTTGTAAATTTTTTTTCGCTGATAAACTCCTGATTCTGAATAAACTAGTCCTGGAGTTGATGATAAATATGACCTGAATGTATTGATTTTAGAGATGAGAGTACAGCTCTGGTTATCACGGTGCCTGTAGGGTTGTGGGGTTGATTCCAGCCTCACTGTTAACACATCATCGTTCTCCTTCTCTGACGGTCATTAACAGGTTCGTTAACGGTCCAGTCATGTCGGACTGTCGGTTCCACATTGATCTGGGACCATTTTACAACCCAGCACTGAAGCCTCACATTCACACCGGTGGTCAATTTAAAGTGAAACAATCGACCTAATCCTTCCTGCTCTTGGACTGTGAAACCAACGAAAACAACAAACTCTAACACCTGGTGGATCAATTTCCTGCTGCGGGGTCACAAACACAAACCAATCTGTCAACGTGTTCCACCGGAACTAAAAAAAAAAGAAAAAAAAGAACTGATCTAAATGAGAGGCTCGACGGGAAAAACTTCTTGACTCTTTTTCAGACCAGCTGGTTCATGAAACTGAAGCTGCAGCGCCGTGAACTCCACCATCGTCTCCAAGTGACTTGTAATTACCAGCCATATTGAGGCAGAAGATTTGCAGAACCAATTAGCGGCGCTTTCATCACGTCAGGTTTACTCAGCCGAAGGCAGCGCCGCGGCGGAGAGTAATCATGTCGTCACTAGTCAAACTGTCAGCCTGTCGCGCTCAGCTCAACATCTGCAGCACGTCTGCCTCCGACATGACTGCTGCCGAGGTGTGAGTTACCGGCGAGGAGAGAAAGAGATCTTCGAAATGAGATCAGCCGAGCGTACGGGCGTTCAGGTAAACAGATCCTCCTTGCGGAACCAATACTCATTAAGTCCCCTGTGTTAACATCTTGCAAAGGGTAATTGCACGAGGTACTTAAAGTCTGAATGGACATCATATGACCATCCATCATGTTTAGCCCCATTCTTGCCTCGCTCTCTCTCTCTCTCTCTCTCTCTCTCTCTGTGTCCAGCAGGTGTCGTCTGATAGATCAACACACCATCTAATCTAGAAAAATGAATGTTGAGTTTGGACGACTAATTTTCCAACGATCAGCAGACATGATCGCAGCATAGAACTTAATTACGACCTAATCACGTTGCTACACTTTTCATTAGTTCCTACCTGGATGGAGACGTCGCTGTAGGAGCCTCCGATGACCCCAGAGATGGCCAGAGGGACGTCGTCGTGGATGGCGTAAGAGCCGTCGGGACAGGTGTACTCGCTGTCGTCCACCTTGGTGAGCGAGGCCCGCACGAACTCCAGAGACTGCTCCAGAGCGTAGGTGTCCTTGGAGCAGGTGTCCAGTATGTGAGCGCCCAGTTTGATCCCAGGCAGGATGCGTTCGTCCCTGTTGATTTCGTCCAGCGCCAGCAGCATGGCCTCCAGTCTCTGGATCCCTCTCTGAGAGTTGATCTTCCCGCAGTCTTCTGTCCCCTCGCCCTTCTGGTGCACCGGGAACAGGCCGCCGATCATCAGGTCTCCATCCAGCGTGATCTCCCGCTTAAAGTCCGTGCTGTAACCCACCACAGGCAGACCTTCAGGAGCCTGGGCAAACAGAGACACACAGGAGCAGAGCAGGATGAGGCGGGACAGCCAGAGCGGCCGGGGCACGGGGCGCACCCCCGACACGGGCGACACCCCCAGTGACATATCCCCGGGGCGGAGTGAGGTCACACCGTCCCGTCTGTGCTCTGTGGTCAGCTGTAGATGACGGAGACGGTGGAGAGAAGAGAGGAGCAACGAGGCGCCGCTGCTGCTGCTGCAGCCACAGATCTCAGAGCTGAGCTGTTTTTATTCCGGCAGAGGCCATTTACAGGATCAATGCCATCCTCTCTGTCCTTCCCTTTCTCTGAGGTTTTGTAGTTTACAGCCTGCAGATGAAACAGAGAGAAAGTCAGTCACAGCCTTTGAGCCGGAGGACAATGATTCCTTTGTTTCTTCACCACGGCGTCTGCTAGAATCTGTAAAAAAGGTGTTTGTATCCATTACTCAGCCCTTGATATTAAACATTTTTAAGTTAAAATCTGATATTATTTGATGTGTTATTATTATTAGTCTTATTAATATATATTTTTTTTCAATTAATGCCTGGCCAGAATGACAGACCTGGTTGACAGAACGGCACCTATAAAATTAAATGTATTATTATTATTATTATTATTTTTATTTATTTTTTCACAAAGAACCTCAAGCTTAAAAAACCATCTCAACTGGTTTTCAGTTTCCTGGCGAGAAACTTAAATTTCTATCAACTATTATGTCACAGCAATGAAACGAAAAGTGGTTTTGACTTTTTTTTTTTACAATTTGTAAAACTAATTTACCTAAATTAATTATGATTAAGTGCAATCCCAGTTAATTATGATTAAATGTGACCAGCCCAAAGCTACCGTGTGATTAATCTCATTAACAGTTTAATCATGTGACAGCTCTAATATGTATCAACAGGAACATGAGGATTACATTCATTAACATATACTTTTCACTGATCAACAGAAGCTTTATTTTCTTTTTTGTTTGTTTACGCGTCGTGTCTGAGGAGTAAATCATTTTGATTACTCAACAGTTTTCTGTGCACTTTTCTTCTACAGTAGAAACTGTTTATATAAAAATCACATCCCAACGCAGCATTTGATGAGTCAGATTAAAGTCTGTGTTTCCAGCGTATAAATGATTCTTTTTCAGCCGTTGTGACTAAATTAGCAAGATCTTATTTGAATCAGCCCAAAACTAAATAATTTAAAATGTTATCATCGAAATTCAGGGGCAGACGCTACAATCAGATGGCACCAAGATTAAAAGCCGGATTGAAAATCCTTAATTAGATTCTCAAACATCAATATTCCGAGGAGAACTGATGTGGACGCAGCGATCATTCCAGAGCATTTGGACAAAAACAGAATCAACTTGATCAGTTTTTACACAGAAGACGGAGACCGAGCGAAGCAGATGGACGTGGGCCAGGTTTCTAAAAAGGTGGTGCGCGGCCCACACGTGTAAAAAAATAAAATTTAAATTTTTAACACAAGCTGCTCCTGTGGGGATTATTAGAAAAAATAAAATAAAATAAAAATCGTCAGAAGAACAACACGTGTGTACGATATAAAAAATTGTTAGCTTAGGTAACTGCTAGCTTATTCCTTTGTTCTTTTGAAATAGTTACATTTAAAAAAGTTAACCGACATAGATTTCTACACAAAAGAAGATAAAAAGAACAATAGTCAGAACTGTTTCTTAGCATCATAAACAAAAGGTCGTACAAAGGTAATATTTGCCGTTTATCGTATCGTATTGTCTATTAAGACAAAACAGTTATTGTTTAACGGCACCAGGTGAAAACAATCCATATCCTGCGTCTTTAATAACAAAAAGCAGTCGATTGCAATGATTTTAAACGTGAAACGTCACATCATCCCAGTGAAAAACCCTCCTGATTAAACGCCACAGTTTCCATGTTTGGACCTAAAGCTGAAGCAGCTCACGTATGGATTGGCGACAGCAGAGTTTTTGTTGGGGCTGGATGAATCCCAGAGGTCCAATTAGGCAGAGAGCCGAGTGTGGAGGGAAGTTTATCAGAGGAAGTTATTGAGCCTCAGTGATCTGTCTCATCAACTGTCTGGAGGTTGACGACGGGCAGTAAACACCTGTGTAAGTGAGAGTTGATTGAAAAACAGCTGTGGAGCGTTTATTAGTCGCAGTTTGTTCATAAAACACTGACTCACTTCATTAAACAATGTCAAGCTCTCTCGCTCTCTCTCTCTCTCTCTCTCTCTCTCTCTCCCTATCATTCTCACCTTCCCCTCTCTCTTTCTGTGTATCCTCTCTGTCTCCCCCTCTTGTTTCCATGGAAACGTGCCAAGAGAAGGATAGGACAGGGTGAGAAGGCGGTGGAAGTGGGCCAGTCTGACCACACGTGGGAGGTGAAAGAGTTAACGGGTGAACTGGGAAACTGCAGCTGATCAAAGAGACCAGACCATCTCCACCACCTTGATGGGGTTTGTCAAAATGAATCCAATTAATCACTTCAATTAATTTGTGTCGTGAAAGTCATTTTTCGATCACAAACGCCTCAATAAAATCTCGTTGTTTACATCATCAAAAACCTCCTGCATTTTTTGTTTCCAACATCAACAGTTAGTGGTCAAAGGTCACGGACTTATACACAACAAACAAACTCTGTGTTTTTTTTTTGAGCTTCGCCGCTAAAAAATATTAGCATTAGCACGTAAACGACAAAACCACAGACGTCCTGGTCTGTGAACACTGAGGTATTTAAACGACAAACAGGACTCGACATGTTGCATCACATTTCATAAGGTGTGAGTGAAGTCGCTGCCCCCC